GGCCACCTCCTGCATGCTCCCCCACTAGGGATTTGGCCCACAACCTGGGCATGTGCCCTGCCTGGGAATCAAACCGGGTGACCTCTTGGTGCATGGGTCACTCAACCACTGAGCCACACCAGCTGGGCCTGTCAACTACTCTTTAGCCCACTTCCAACATGACATATTGGTGAAGACATCAATCCTCACATATTCTATGTGCCTCAGTCAGACAGGTTCCATTTCTTTCAAAGGTAACAAGCTAGTGTTTAGCACCAAACCCCAGCAATTTTCCCTGTTTTTAAACAGCAAATCAAAAATTTTAAAGAAGTTACATGTTTACCTCCAAATGCATGCATGTTTGAAAGCAGTGAATAACTCTAAGATTTACCACAATCTTCTCCCTACCGCCCCCCCACCGCCTCTGCCAAGAAAAGGCTAGTAAAACTCACTTACTCTAATACAGGCCTTGACACTATATAGGCCCAAGTAAGAGGTTGCCAACTAAGAATTCAAAAAGATTCTTAGCAGGGATGTACTCAGATCCATAAAATCTAGGGCCTCCAACCTAAAAGCTATCACTTCTGAAATATGAGGTATCTTCTTTTTTTTTTATATTTTTTTATTGATTTTTTTTAGAGACAGAAGAAGGGAGAAATAGAAATATCGATGTGAAAGATATATTGATTGGCCGCCTCCTGCACACCCCCCACTGGGGGATCCAGCCCACAACCTGGGCAAATGCCCTGACCAAGAATGGAACTGGGACTTCTCAGTCCATGGGATGACGCTCAATCCACTGAGCCACATTGGCTGGGCTGTGAGGATATCTTCTAAATAACAATCAAGACTGGCAGCAACAAGGTTTTGCTGTTGATTTGAGAGAGAGAGGAAGGAAGACAGAGAAACATCAATTTGTTGTTCCACTTATTTATGCATTCACTGGTTGATTCTTTTATGTGTCCTGGCCAGGGCTTGAACTCTCAATCTTGGCTTATCAGGACGACATTCTGACCAACTGAGCTACCTAGCCAAGGAACAACAAGATATATTTTAACAAACTTCCCCAGAGCACCTATATGTAAGACCTCTGGTGCTAGGGCATGACAATTTGGGGATTGGGCATGATTACTGACATTTGACCTTTTAGTATAAAGCAAAATCAAGCTCCATCTCTACCATAAAAGAATAGGTAATTCCATGTATATTTCTGCACATGTGCTTCTCCAAGTAAGGAAATAATTCTCCCTAATCAGCAATACACATTAAAAGCAAACTTTTACATAGAGGAATGCAGGTAACTATAGCACCTAAACCCTGCTGCTTGACTCACTTAATCTGCTTAAATCCACTTACAGAGAAGAGTGATGGTCAGGTTAGATTTTAGTGCTCCTTTGCCTTGTCATGAACACCTAAAGCAATGAAAATTTAAACAGATGATATGGATAGTACCTTCCAGAGGTTGTACTGCCACTTTAAGTAAAGGCATATGTAAGCAGAATAAAGCTGTTCTAAAATGAAACCAAGAAAAAGAATTCAGAAAGAACATGAATTTAGCCCTCTTAGCTAAAGAAAGGTCAAGATAAAAAAAAAAAGATACAAAATTCCACCAATGGGAACTGCATGCTCCACCAATTTTAAGACAAACACCATTATCCTCTTTGGTTCCACTGCCTGAACCTTTTGAACCCAAAGAGGGGACAAGTGATCAAGATGGCTGGTAACAAAGAAGGAACTGTGCACTGTGGGTGCTATGATACCATATTACTGCACTCTTTTCCAGATGCATTTAAAATAATTCCTTTTGATTCCACTGGTGCTTCTCTGGGCAATTTTTCTTGCCCACAATCTGTTATAATGGTACTGGGATAACATAATTTAAGCATGTCCCATTTTTTAGTATATAAGAGGCAGGCCAAGTGACCTAGAGGACAGAAAGGAACCAAAAGTCTAAAAGGAAGGAGGCCATTTTCCTTCTAAATTGTCACATATAATTCATTCCTAATAGTGGTTGCTCTAACCCAATCAACTTGAATGCTTTCTCCACATGGAATTAAAGTGATTACTTCAAGGAAGAATTTAATCCAGCTCTTCCTGCCTGGCAAAGGTTTTTTTCATCAGAGGGTAGCTGAGTTCGATGAGGGCATTTACAGTATCCCAAGGGCTTCTTTTCCTTTAAAAAAAAAAAAAAGTTTTAAAGAGACCACACCTTTATCTGATTCTACCCTTGGAAGTTTGGGGAGTTAAGTTTCTACAGAACAGTAACTTGGAAACCTAAAGTCACAGGCCCTCTAAGAATCTGATTAAACCTCAGTCACAGAAAAATATACAAGCAACAAAACTCCATAAGCCAGTCTATGGAACCAGGTAAAGAACTTTTAGCCTATGCAGGGGTGGGGAACCTTTTTTCTGCCAAGGGCCATTTGGATATTTATAATATCATTCATGGACCATACAAAATTATCAACTTAAAAATTAGCCTGCTAATTAAAAAAAAAAAAGCCCTGGCCAGTTTGGCTCAGCAGTTAAGAGCATTGGCCCCTGGACCAAAGAGTCGCAGATTCCATTCCTGTCAAGAGCATGTACCTCAGTGGCCACGCCTGGCGGGGAATCATTTGGGAGGCAACCAATTGATGTGTCTCTCTCACATTGATGTTTCTTTCTCTTTCTCTCTCTCTCTTTCTCTCCTTCCCTCCCCCCGTCCCCCAAGGGCTCTATCTGAAAATAAATGAAAAAATATCCACGGGTGAAGATTAAAAAAAAATTACCCCTGGCTGGTTTGGCTCAGCGGTTAGAGCATTGGCCCATGGACCAGAGAGTCCTGGGTTCAGTTCCCGCTAAGGGCACATACATCAGTTGCAGCTTGTCCCCAGCCCCAGTTGGGGTCATGTGGGTGGCAACCAGTCAATGTGTCTCTCTCACATAGATGTTTCTCTCTCTCTCTTCTCCCCTCTCTCTCCCTCCCGCTCTATCTAAAGATAAATGCAAAAATGTCCTTGGTTGAGGATAAAAAAAAAATTAGCCTGCAACATTTGGTCAGATTAAGTTGGTGAGGCATGTTAGCTTGTATTGACTTTGAGGGCCTTATATGGCCCGAGGGCCATAAATTCCCGACTCCTGCTGTAGACAGGCTATGGAAAGGTTCAAGGTCAGTAGTAAGAATGGTATCTTATAAATCTAACAGGAACACTCCCTCCCTTTCTTAACCAGGAAGCAGGGAAATGATGAGAGTACTAATGTGGGCTCATTTCTGAGAATATAGGGTTCCACTCACGGACAACTTTGGTTTGGGGACTTCTCTTTGGCCTGGAGAAACTGTAGTCTAAGACCCTGCCTGCCAAATCTTTCCTTCCCCTCTGCTTTCAGATGTGTCAGACCTGCCCTGTGGTCTGAAGACTCTTCTGGCCCTCAGAGTATCCCTGCTATCTTCTCTCTTATTTTATACTTCCCAGGCATTTTCCCCAATAAAACACATACTTCTAATCCCATCCTGGAATCTGTTTCTAGAAAGACTCAAACTGTACACCTGCAATTGCTGTCATTTTCATAGTATCTTAACACAGGGCCCCCAAGAAAGTGACCTTGAATCCTTCCAGTCCTCACTCAAGTACTACACTCCAACACAGAATCTATACCCCTTAAGATAATGACTTCTTAGACTTGCACAGCAGGATGAAAGTCCTGGAAGCCAACAGGCCCATGATTTTTCACAGACACCATTGGTAGTTTTGATATTTCCGCCTTCGGGTATGAGATAAGACCCACTAAGGATAAGTGTCAATGGTGAAGAGAAATTGGCATGAAAGTCCAAATCAGTAAGGTAAGATGTATAAGAGGCCTTACCTTTGTCAGGCCTGAAAATATGACCCTGACATGTGCTAGAAATATCTTTCACGCTTACACAAAACTAAACATGGAGCTGTACATTCATAATCACCCTCTAATAAGTGATGACATTATTCAATAGGGAGAAAAAATTAAGTCAAGTAAAACCAGTCAAAGCAAAAATCATATTCCAATGTTTATGAGACCTTTTGTATTAATTAGACAAAGTCCTACAACAATATGAGACTCAAAGTCAGTTCTTAAGTACACCAGTAGGAGCTATTAAGTATACAAATAAATGTTCTATTATTTGAGTGCCACACTGCCTCAATCCCAGCATCAACTGAGGCTTTCACAAGGAGTAAGTAGATTCTGAGTAAGTGAGATTCTGAGGTAAACACAAGGGGATTGGGTCAGAATCCAGCCATACTGTATTACTTGTCCTAAATAATTTCTGTCCCACTGTTAAGGCTTAGGGCATGTAGTATTAAATGACTGTATCAATCTACCCTTTTCTATTGTGAGAAAACATTATTATAAGAGAGAGGAGAAATCTCTTAAATTAAGAGTTCCTCTGAAAGTCTCAAAGAGCAAAATAACCAAATGCTTTGTTTTGCATGCTATTTTCTCCCTTTATTCTTGGTTTGTGATGTTAAGCTCATAGTGAAAAAGAAGCCACCCAACTTATCTGGTTTACCAACACAATAAAAGCAAATTGTAGTCATACTTCTATTTTAATCAAGCATGACAACAAGGTGATTGAGTAGCTTCCCAAACTAGCAGAGCAGTGGTCACTAACTTGCACAGACTGGCATTAGATTAGCACTTCATAAATTGTGCAGGCACCTGACCATTTAGATGATCTTTCTATGCAGAATCGGCAGTCTAACACTGGCTCTCACAGGCATTAAAAAATCACCACTCTGCTAACCCAACTCACTGTTCAGACGGGTCTTCTTGAATGCAGCCTTTATTACAACCTCACTGCTGCTTCCTACACTGAAGGAATACCATGTTTTTAAGTCAGGAGTTCTTCTTTCTTGCTTTATTGTAATCGGGGGTCTTACAACGACCCAATACTGTTATAAAGCACGGTGCTTTGTAACAGTAAAGCTTCTGGAAAACCCAAACAAAAGACACGTCACCCGGTGACGTCAGCCTATATACAGTTCTGTGTGGTCGCAGCACATAAGCAAATCCATTCTTGTGCCGTTTCTCGGAAAAGCTTTTCAGTAAATGCACTCATGCTGCTCCAGGAGCTCTTCTCTGCAACAAGCCGCCCATCTGCCATCAACAAGTTAAGACCGAGAGAACTAACAGCTGCGGAAAGGAAAGACTGATGCTTTGATTAACCAGCTGAGCAGTTAGAGGGGGGCGAAATTAATAACTTATATTCAGAAGTGATTTACGCAATCACAGTGGTCACAGACAATGAAGCCAATGCTTTTGAGAGGAATATTCTAAGGAAAAAAACAACTCACCCTGGTGGATTCAATTTTACTCAGAAAGCCTGGGATACAGAAAACAGGAAACTGGTCAAAGGCTCCTGCATGTTAGAGCCTTTTACAGACTCACTGCGTTGAGTCTAAAAACCTCGACTGAATGCAGCCTCCAATGTGCTCAGAAGAATGGGTAAGTCCATGCATTTATGTGCCTTGTACGGTCAGCAAGGAATCACGCTTTTTAAAATAAATCATTGAATTCACATTTTATGAGGGGAATCACTGTCACATTTTTGGATCTTGAGGTTTAGATTAAAGCATAAATTGATGATGACAGTATATGTTTTATCTTCTTAATGGTTTAAGTTTTGTTCCAGTCATACTAACAAGGTTAGTTTTTCTGCAGCAAATTAAAATTAAGTTATATGCAGTGAACTCTTTCACCATAATGTTATGTGTTTTTTTTTAATAGCTCATGTGTTCTGCTGAAAAATATCCTATCTTCTTGTTTTCCTTAAATTATATTCTGCAGGCTTACATTTCAAGTGGCCATTAGGGGCCCCTATGCTGGCAGCAATATATGCAATGAGTATGGTTTTAAAAATGCTGCCTGCCCTGGGAATGGCGTGTCCACCCAAATGCCGCTGCGAGAAGCTGCTCTTCTACTGCGACTCTCAGGGCTTCCACTCAGTGCCAAACGCCACAGACAAGGGCTCTCTGGGCCTTTCCCTGAGGCACAATCACATCACAGAGCTTGAAAGGGATCAATTTGCCAGCTTCAGTCAACTTACCTGGCTCCACTTAGACCATAATCAAATTTCAACAATAAAAGAAGATGCTTTTCAAGGACTATATAAACTTAAGGAATTAATCTTAAGCTCCAACAAAATATTTTACTTGCCAAATACAACTTTTACCCAACTGATTAACCTGCAAAATCTGGACCTGTCTTTTAATCAGCTGTCATCTCTGCACCCAGAGCTCTTCTATGGCCTTCGGAAGCTGCAGACCTTGCATTTACGATCCAACTCCCTGCGGACTATCCCAGTACGCCTGTTCTGGGACTGTCGTAGTCTGGAGTTTCTAGATTTGAGCACAAACCGTTTGCGAAGTCTGGCTCGTAATGGATTTGCGGGATTAATCAAATTGAGAGAGCTTCACCTAGAGCACAACCAGCTGACGAAGATTAATTTTGCTCATTTCCTACGGCTAAGCAGTCTGCACACGCTCTTCTTACAATGGAACAAAATCAGCAACTTGACATGTGGGATGGAGTGGACCTGGGGCACTTTAGAAAAGCTAGACCTGACTGGAAATGAAATCAAAGCCATTGATTTGGCAGTGTTTGAAACAATGCCTCATCTTAAAATACTCCTAATGGATAACAACAAGTTAAACAGCCTGGATTCCAAGATCCTGAATTCCCTGAGATCCCTCACAACTGTTGGCCTCTCGGGCAATCTGTGGGAATGCAGCCCTAGAATATGTGCTTTGGCCTCCTGGCTGGGCAGTTTCCAAGGTCGGTGGGAACATTCCATCTTATGCCACAGTCCTGACCACACCCAAGGAGAGGATATACTAGACGCAGTCCATGGATTTCAGCTCTGCTGGAATTTATCAACCACTGTCACAGCCATGGCTACAACTTATAGAGATCCAACCACTGAATATACAAAAAGAATAAGCTCATCAAGTTACCATGTGGGAGACAAAGAAATCCCAACTACTGCAGGCATAGCAGTTACTACTGAGGAACACTTTCCCGAACCAGACAATGCCATCTTCACTCAGCGGGTAATTACAGGAACAATGGCTTTACTGTTTTCTTTCTTTTTTATTATTTTTATAGTGTTCATCTCCAGGAAGTGCTGCCCTCCCACTTTAAGAAGAATTAGGCAGTGCTCAATGATTCAGAACCACAGGCAGCTCCGATCCCAAACACGGCTCCATATGTCAAACATGTCAGACCAAGGACCGTATAATGAATATGAGCCCACCCATGAAGGACCTTTCATCATCATTAATGGTTATGGACAGTGCAAGTGTCAGCAGCTGCCATACAAAGAATGTGAAGTATAATATCTACCTATCATCAAAAATTACATCAGATAAGTAACCTATTTTACATAGTAGGGGCTAAATAAATATCTAGTTTTTAATAATGGTGACATTAAGCCTAATTTTCAAAACTAAGTGGAGACTTAAGTTTTTCAAGTGTTAAGGTGTTTTTAATTTTTTTTAATGAAACCATATTTTAAGTGTTAAATGAAGTAATGCTCACATTAATTTGCACTCTTGTTGGAAAGTCTAAAGATGCTTATTTCAAAATAAGACATTTCATGTATGTGATATTACTGAGTGTAAACATTTACACTAAGGTCTCCAATATGCTATTTTTTTCCTACTGAAAACAGTTTGGAAAGAAGCTACTGAGCAGAAAATGATATGGATCAATACTTGTTAGATCATTGCTTTCCATCCCAAGCATCACCAATGGCTTGCTGCTTAAAAAAAGACTTAGCAAAGTTCTCTTATATGATAATTTGGTATTTACTCAAATCCACAATTTACTGCCAGTGTGGGAAGTAGAATTTCATATATGCTAAAGACTGGTAAATATTCAACACTCTTCTTCCAGAGTTTTTGCCTAGGTTAATAGATATTATCAAAGTCCACATCATGAAATCAGAACATTTTATGTAATTCTAATAAGCTGAGTGAATCTTTAATATATTTAAACAATGAATCCAAGTGATTGTGAAAAAGGTCTCATTACAATGAAATCAATACTAAATAATTACACTGACTTTGTATCATACATCTCTAGCTTAACTTACAATGAACATGTTTTTTGTCGCATTTAGACAATTATTTTAAACTAGTATTATATTACCATTTTACTAAATAGTTTACTAAGTCCTATATTTACATTTATATGTGAAAAAAGATTTAGAAATTATTTTGGAGAGAAAAGAGAGAAACTGAGTCAACTTAATCCAATACCTGCTCCCTCTAGTTTGAAAGCACACACAAAATTCTCTCTCTCTCTCTCTATGGTCATGATCAAAGCTGCCTTGACAAAGGGGTTTAAACCTCTTTCTTCTGCCTTTTCCTGATCCTCAAACCTTAGAGTCAAATAAAAAATAATTGGCTAGTAACAGGCATAACAATGATTCTTAATAGAATATATTATAAAGGAACCACTAAAAGCCACTTTCTACATATTATTTGCTAAAACTTGACCTTTTAATAAAGATACATATTCACACTATGAGAGCAGTTCCTTGTAAGTGAAGGGCACAACATATTACTGAGGCAAACCTTTTTGTGGTAGAACACTCCACATGCTTATGCAGCCACACAGTGGTAACTCAAAGGTGGCACAGAGGAGAGGGGATGAAAGGGAAAGGCAGCATTTTGAAATCTCACTCACAGAAACAGGTTAGCTGAAGTTAAGAGGCAGCCAAGAGTGAGGCAAATGGGTAGCTAGCTGTACACTATCTACAGGGCAAGGTCTTAGGACCTACAGCTGAAAAGGGGAGGAGGAGGTTCTCTCGTGTTAATATAAACATTCCATAATTAACAAATGATAATGATGCCACATTTTTCATGTAGAAAAGAGTCACACGTATTGTTTCTTCAAGTATGATTTCTATGGAGAAACTATAACATATTTAAGATTCAGATGCAAGTTACCAATTCACACAGCATTTTCCCATAAACAAAGTTCCGTGTACGTAGCAGCAAAAACCAAGACATTAGACTAATGACTTGATTTTAGAAGAATGAGCATTTTTACAACTGTATGTGAAAAAGGCATAAATCCTTAGAAAAAACCACTACCATAAAAGAAAAAAATTATATTTTCCTAACATGACCATTAACATGATATCCTTTGTTCAAGGCATATTTTCTTCTCTGGACTGAATTGAAAACATGTTAAGACTACAGTTTAACCCATGAGGTTTAACTGCAATTTTTTCTTTTGCATACTAAGAGAGGGGTGTCTACTTACATTTCAAAGAAACTGTATCTCAGTAAAATGCAGACAAGATCACCTATTATGGTAATAGTGTACTCTCTACATTTTTTAAGATGGGTAAATTAGTCTGGGAAAGTCTCAGCCCAGTTGAGTTCAGCTGATTTTGAGCAGTGAACATTTCATCTCTTGTTAAACCAGACCTTGGGCTTGCCTGGGCAGGGACCAAAAAAAAGCTGATTTTATGGCATAGAGCACAGCTCACTGCTTCCCTACAGAAGGGCCTGATCTGAAATCCCCATTATAAATGAGAACTCCACAAGGTAAAATTTACCAACTCATTTATCAGGCAAACTACAGCCATTTGTCAGAGACAAGCTTTGTCACAATACACTTGTGTCATGAACATGCAAGATTCCACTAGCCCCGAAGGATAGCAAAGGAGCATTTTCTATCATTTCCACCATACCAAATTAATTGAAACTGTGAATAGAAGGGTGATAAATATGGGCTGGGAATCCCCACATTAATCCTAAAGATTACTGTTAGTAATATGGCCATCGATCAGCAAAATCCTTAATGTATGTAGAAAAGTAAATTAGAAAAGCCATTTAGTAATTCAAGGGAACAGCAGAACCAAGGCCACCACGGCATACTTTCAAGTAGAAAAATAACTGATTTTTTGGGCCCTGTCTTTTTCTTCTTCTTCTTTTTCTTTTTTTTTTCTGTAATGCTCTCTGAGAAAAGTGAGTAATAATGCCAAATAGCATGTTTCTTTTTCATTAAAGCGCAAACTTCCCTTCTGAATTGCCTATAGAAGGCAGGATTCCATTTAATTTTGGTCTTTTTGTGTTTCGATATCAACACAGGCTTGAAGACGAGACTGTTAGTCATATGTGCTCTCTTTACCAACTGGCTAGAGTGGAAGAGCATCACAGCTACATTGCAGATCCTGCTAATGCAATGTTAGGGCTTTTGTTTTTTGGTTTCATTTTATCCTCCTCAGCCTCCTCTCCATCAACCCTGTTTTTTTATTCCCCCATTTTCAAGATTAAGAGGAAAAGGACCACTTATCGAGAACCAGAAAAATAATTAAATTTCTCTGGAAAAAGGAAAGCTGAAGAAGGTTATGATACTGTACCCACCTAGTAACCAAGAGCTAGTCTGAAATCATTTATATTCATTTCTGTAGGATTTCAATCACCTTTCTAAAGTGAGAATGGGCTGATAAATTTGCAAATCCACATACAGCTCAGAGAGAATACCCACTGCCAACATCAAATAGGAAAGATACTAAATTTTTAAACCAAAAATCTTCATTAACACATGTAATTTCTTAATGTGCCTAAGTTAATTTCTGTACCAATTTAATGAATGAAATTGAACTTTCCAACTCCACTAATTATTAAAATCCATCTGCTTATTCTGATGCTAGTCACCAAGAGCTAGGCTCCATCTTCCCAGTAAAAATAGGCCCCATGTAGCACTAGGTCTGAATTCTAAAATTGATAAAAAGGCCTATCATTTTCTTAAGGCATTACTTCCTACACAGAGCTGGGGGCGGGGTGAGGGTGGGGGAACACGAGCTATAAATGCTCTGTTCTCTCTCTAAAGTATGGCTATCAATATGAAATTTGAAAGAATATTTTTAGAAGCTGACTTATATGATCATTTTCTTAATAGAGCAATATAGTGACAGACCTGTCTCAAAAGTCTGTTTTGAAACATGCTTTTTATATCTTATTGGTTAAAGTGCTTCAACCAGAAAAAGACAAAGGTTATAAGGCCATCAATAGATAATTAAATATTTCCACTCCTTAGCTAGGGCGAACTTAAATAATTTAAGGCAAAAAACAAATAGAAAATGATGGTTTAAACTTTCATCCAGTTATTGCAAACATTTGGAAACATCTCCTACTCCAACTAATTTATTCTTCCTTGGTAACTTAAAAAAAAAAGTTTCATCTATGGAATGTTTATTGAACCTTTTTATCAACACAGACTGGAAACCAAAAGTACAGTCCAAACACATTGTGCGTAATCACCTTAAGAGCCATGGTGGGGTGGGGGGTGGGGGAGAAAATACTATTATTACTCTGGGGGTTTGGGGGAGATGGTTAACAAAGTGCAGTGTACAGGAAAGTTTTGTTATTAAAATTGTGTATACTGGAAAAAGTGAATGTCTTTTTTTTTTTTTTTTTAGTTTTTCCTTGGTAACCTATCAATTTTGACACGTCAAACTTGAAAAACCATTTGTGACAGATATAGAAACCTTAAATGAGCAGTTTTTTTGTGCCATGTTCTCTATACTACCAAATATGCCAGTTGAAAAAAGGGCAGCTAATTATCACCTGTCTTCATTCAGAGACAGACGAGCAAAACCAGGCTAAGAAGAAAGCAAAGGTAAGGAGGGACGAAAAAGCAGCTGACTAAAAGCCACCATGCCGATATACAACAGTCATGCAATAAGGAGTTGCTCTGTCACAAGCCAGAGCAAATAGACAAACAGCTATCCAACAGGCTCATAGGACCTAGGGCTGGCCACTGTTCCCCAACCTCCTTAACAGCAGACTGCTACCACAGCCTGGGGAGCTTCAAAAAGGCACTCAGTTGCCTATCTCCAGCAAATAGCAACTTGGCCTGAACCTTGAGGGCCCGCTGGGGTAGATCCCAGCAGTACCTTGTACAACACTCCTGAGAGGGAGGACCACAGGTACTAAAACATGCTGGGCCCTGGCCGGTTTGGCTCAGCGGTTAGAGCGTCGGCCTGCGGTTCGGAGAGACCTGGGTTCGGTTTCCGCTAAGGGCACATACCTCGGTTGCAGTTTGTCCCCGGCCCTGGTTGGTCGTGCGGGTGGTAGCCACTCGTGTCCCTTTCACGTCGATGTTTCTCTCTATCTCTCTGTTCCTCTCTCTCCCTCCCACTCTACCTGAACAAAAAATGGAAAAATGTCCTCGGGTGAGGAAAATAAAAAAATAAATAAATTAATTAATTAATTAATTTTAAAAAACATGCTGGGATCTCTAGAATACCCCTACATGAACTACTCTACCCTAGATGCCAACTCACTAGGTATGGATAGGGAAAAGAAGGCAAGATTTTTTAACTAGTGTCCCTCAACTGGCATAGGTAAACATCCCCAGGACAGGATGCTATGACTGGGCAGCAGTGGTAGCAAAAACTACCCTGGCCTTAAGGAGTTGACTGTCAGGAGTCTGCCATACTTGCCAGGATGAACTTACTGCTTCTCCAGGCCTAAAGCACTGCAGCAAGACTAGACAGGCAAAAAGAAACAAGGTTTCCCCTTTCCCAATACCCAGGGATAAGGGAATCAGAGAGGCTAAGAGCTCTGGCACCAAAAATCTCAGCAGTAACTAGGGCAGAGGCAGGAAGCACAGCACAAAATCTTACTGTCAAACTCACCCAGTATGCACTAGAGGGGATCGGTGATGGTGGTTTCAAAGTATACGAAGGAATGAATTTCTATATCTTATATGTAGTTAAAAGCACAGCTTATTAACATAATTCTCATACATTTTAACCTTGAAAATCCCATGTAAAGCTACATCTGATTTATCAGTTATTTTAATTAGTTTTGCCTGAATGCCACAGCTTTCTCAGATTCACACTCAAATTTATAATAGATTGTTCTTCAAGGTCTGTTTAAAGGCATTTTTTTCTTTCTTTAAATATATCTAACCAGCTGGGTACTCAAATGTACTACAAACTGTCTTTCACAAAGAGAGAAGGGAAAAAGAGGTGCAAATCACAGCTATTCCAAACACCTTTCCTTAAGCATGAGTTACTCCTCATTTGCCAGTGTTTTGGGAACTCTTTATGGACAAAGGAAACATTAAAGAGCAAGAAATCTCTAAAGGCAAGTACAATGAGACATCCTCTCACACAAAGCCCACAAACTAAATATACCATGCCCCTTTATACATGGAAGGCCCAAGAGCAAAGTCTAGCCCATGGCCTCCAACTCAGACCTCCCCTTAGAAACCCAACACGAAGGACCGTCTGTCAACAACCCTGATAGCAGAGGCCAGTGGTTCCATCATCATCCAAGAGAGAAGGCTCTTCCCATACTTGGGGATTAAATTTTTTAAAGTGCAGTCCCAGAGACAATTCCCAAAGCCTTTTTACAACTTTCATGAAGAGAATTGAGCAAGAACTATAGTGCAGAGATGTAAAAATGTCATAACTTTACTCAATACCAATCACAATTGCATTCAGTACACAAGAACACAGACACAACCTCAAGTTTGCTTTTTCTGGAAAATCATCAGACAACATTACAGCCATTTATATTAGCCCACCTGTTTCATCATCATGAGAATCAAAATTTCTTCATGTAATAAAAATATTTTCCATGGCTTAGCTACCAAATACATAGAGGGCAACTACTCGGCAGCTAAAACCTCTGAAAACAATGTATCATTTACATATAATCTAGTATTATAAAGCCAAGTAAATTTAGCATAATACATTCATAAGTACCGAATGGTTGAAATAAGAATATAAAAATATCAAAAGCAGGGATTCTTAACTCTAAGGGTCCAGGATATGTTTCACAGGTCATAAAAACCTCCTGCAATTATAATATAGTCAAATTTTGGTTCTCAAACATCTCG